GGGGCATTGGCCCCATATGCCAGAGGTGGTGGGTTCAAACCCAGCCCTGGCCAAAAACTGCAAAAAAAAAAAAAAAAAAAGATGGACAAATTAAGTTGCATCAAAATGTAAAATTTTAGGGAAACCTAAATTCACTTCCATATCCAGGGCTATATGGCCCTGAATCCCTCTTCCCTACCAGAGTCTTGATTCAGAGCATCAGGCAAGTCGATCAAATCACAGCACTACCCCCAGCCACAGGGATCATTTCAGCAATGGGTGTTTGAGATGACCTGGCCAAGGAAATACAAGGAGATGTCCTTGGTGCTTTCTGGAAGAGAAGTTTCCTTACTCCCAAGAATGAAATCAGAGAGATCCCTCTCCTTCCTCAGACCAATGGAAAGCCAAGTGAAGTCTCCTGCTGTCTTGACATTTCACCATGACAAGAGCAGGCACTCTAAGGATAAATCCAGACCCAAGAGGAACCCACAGGGCCGAGACACTAGATCAATCCCAGCCTGAAGCCAGTCCTATCTCTGGGCTCCCAGTTGACTGAGCCAAGAAATATTTCAGAGTTGAAGCCTCCTCAGCGATTTCCCTGTTATCTGCAGCTTCGAGCTTCCAGGAAATAGTGAATGCAATGGAGGGCAACTGGCTCAGACCAGTGAGGAGCCAGGGGTCCCAGAGGGAAGGCCTGACACAGTGGATCATGTGAGGCAAAGAACACCTGCAGATAGGAAAGGAAATATCAAAAAAAAAAATCTTTTAAGCCAGGTGGAACGGCTCACGCCTATAATCCCAGCACTCTGGGAGGCTGAGGCAGGTGGATCCCTTGAACTCAGGAGTTCAAGACCAGTGTGAACAAGAGTGAGACTCAGTCTCTACTAAAAATAGAAAAACTAGCCAGAAGTGGTAGCAGGTGCCTGTAGTCCCAGCTACTTGGGAGGGTAACGCAAGAGGATTGCTAGAGCCAAAGAGTTTAAAGTTGCTGTGATCTATGATGACACCATAGCACTCTAGCCAAGGTGACAGAGTGAGACTCTGCCTCAAAAAAGCATGAGTTATGCTTTCATAAAATATTAAAATGAGCAATTAAACAAAAGATGCCTGTTCAGGGGCAAGGACTGGAAGACAGTGAGAAAATTAAGAATGAAGATTAGGGTGAATTATAGTTACTTGTTTAAAACTTACCTAGGTTAAATTATATCTTAAAAATAATTTTTGAGACAGAGTCTCACTTTATTTTGGTAGAGTGCTGTGCCATCACAGCTCACAGCAACCTCAAACTCTTGGCTCAAGTGATCCCCTTGCCTCAGCCTCCTGACTAGCTGGGACTACAGGCGCCCACCACAACACCCAGCTATTTTTAGAGACAGGGTTTCACTCTGGCTCATGCTGGTCTCAAACTCATGAGCTCAGGCAATCCACTTGCCTTGGCCTCCCAGAGTGGTAGGATTACAGGCGTAAGCCACCGCTCCCAGCTAAATTTTAATTTTTAACTTTTTTTTTTTTTTTTTTGAGACAGAGGTCTTACTCTGTCATCCTGGGTAGAGTACTGTGGCATCATCATAGTTCACAGCAACCTCAAACTCCTGGGTTCAAGTGATCCTTTTGCCTCAGCTTCCCGAGTAGCTGGGATTACAAGTGCCCACTACAATGCCCGGGTAGTTTTTCTATTTTTAGGAGAGATGGGGTCTCGCTCTTGCTCAGGCTTGTCTTGAACTCCTGAGCTCAAAGGATCCACCCACCTTGACCTCCCAGAGTGCCAAGACTACAGGCATAAGCCACCAGGCCCAACCTTTCATTTTTTGTTAAGTATCCTCAAACTTCAGGGCTCAAGGGATCCTGTCAACTAAGCCTCCTGAACAGCTGGGACTACAGGCATCTGCCACTGTGCTCAACTAATTTTTCTTATTTTTTTAGAGATGGGTGGGTCCTCATTATGTTGCCCAGGCTGGTCTTGAACCCCTGGCCTTAAGTGAGCCTCCCACTTCATTCTCTCAAGTCACTGACATTACAGGCATGAGCCATTGTACCTAGGTCTACAATATTAATAGTTTGTTGTATCTAAAACTAGGTTACAGAAAAAGAAATATTAGCCCTAATTCCAGACAGGCAGAAGGCCCCTCAAGGCAACACTCCCCTTTCCAGGCATCTGGGTGACATCAGTGCCCCACAGTGATGAAGGCTCCACTGCTGAGGACCAGGGGGCACCCTTTCCTTGCAGCCAGCAAAAGGCTTCTCCATGGCCCAATCTTCCCTCCTCAATCCCCAGCAGGAGCCCCCAGGGGCCTGGCCCTCTCAAACAGACCAGGCCCAAAGGGAAAGAAGCCACAGTCAACATCCATGGAAAAACTGGGACCAGTGTCCTCCCCAACTGAGCCTGAGGCACAACCGGGTGGTCCGTGTGCTGGGATTTGGGGGCTAGGAGGAAGAGAAAGATATCACAGGTCCCCTTCACAGAGTCACCTACCACAGGAGTCACAGGTGAAGCAGTCCGTGTGGTACAGGCCGCCCATGGCCTGGCACGCCTGCCTTGCCCCGTAGATGCCGAGCCCACACTTGATGCAAATGCCTGGGAGAGAGAGACAGGCGAGAGCCCTGACGAGCCGCACAGCAGACAGCGAGGTCAGGCGTGCGCCCAGCTCCCCACCTGGCGGCCACCTGCCCAGCCTCAGGCAAGTAAACTTCTCTAGGCCAACATCACGTGGTTACTAATAACTAACATGGGGACTTTGGGGTACCCAGTACTCAGGGATTGTTACTGCTGCCATTTAAAGATTCAAAGAACTTAGCAGCATGCCTGGTGCAGAGTCACTATTATTACAATATATTTATGTATATGACTTTTTCTTTTTTTTTTTTTTTTGAGACAGTCTCAGGCTGTCGGCCTGGGTAGAGTGCTGTGGTATCACCCAAGCTCACAACAACCTTGAACTTCTGGGCTCAAGTGACCCTCCTGCCTCAGCCTCCTGAGCAGATGGGAGTTAGACACCTGCCATGACACCCAGCTAGTTTTTCTATTTTTAGTAGAGATGGGGGTCTCACTCTTGCTCAGGCTGGTCTGGAACTCCTAAGCTCAAGGGATCCTTCCTTCTTGGACTCCCAGAGTGCTAGGATTATAGGTGTGAGCCACTGCACCTAGCCAGTATATAACTTTCAATAGAAAGTGACTGTAAGTGCCTTCACCCATGACCTACTCTTGGGCTGAGAGAAAATGCTTCCTAAAGTCTATGAATAAGATTTGGTCTTTTTCTTCAAAATAAAAATAAATATTTTCTTTCTTTTCTTTTTTTTTTTTTTTGAGACAGTCTCACTACGTAGCCCTCAGTAGAGAACTGTGGTGTCACAACTCACAGCAATCTCAAACTTCTGGGCTCAAGCGAGTCTCTTGTCTCAGCCTCCCAAGGAGCTGGGACAATAGACGCCCACCACAGTGCCCGGCTGTTTTGTTGTTGTAGTTATCATTATTGCTTTAGCTGCCCCAGCCCAGCCAGGTTCGAACCCACCAGCCTCAGTGTATGTGGCTGGCACCGTAACCACTGTGCTATGGATGCTGAGCCAAAAAACACATATTTTCTTTCTTTTCTTTTTTTTTTTTTGGAGACAGAGTCTCACTATGTCGCCCTCAGTAGAGTGCTGTGCCATCACAGCACACAGCAATCTCAAACTCTTGGGCTTAAGCAATTATCTTGCCTCAGCTTTCCAAGCAGCTTAAGACTACAGGCACCCGCCACAATGCCTGGCTATTTTTTTGGTTGTAGTTGTCATTGTTGTTTGGCAGACTCAGGCTGGGTTCACACCCGCCAGCTCTGCTATATGTGGCTGGCGTCCTAGCTGCTGAGCTATTGGCGCTAATCCCCCAAAACACATATTTTCATGTATTTAAAAAAATTAATAAAAATACACATTTTCTGACCCACATGCAAATAAGGAAGATTGCACCCCACAGCACAGCATAGTCACTGACCCTGCCCTGGCACTCCTTCCTCCTCTATACCCCAAGTTATTTATTCTCTTGTTCAGTACACACACACACACACACATACACACATACACATACACACACGTGTTCATGGCTGGTCACATGCCTACAGGCTGGGTGATGGAAAGTCTGCAATGCACCCAAGTTCTACCCTCCAGGAACCTGCATTCCAGTCACCCCATGTCCCCGCTTCCCTCGGTCAAGAAAGAGAGCTTCAGCTGGGCACAGTGGCTCATGCCTGTAATTCCAGCACTCTGGGAGGGCAAGGCAGGAGGATCCCGTGAGCTCAGGAGTTCAAGACCAGCCTGAGCAAGGGTGAGACCCCCATCTCTACTAAAAATAGAAAAACTAATCTGGTGTGGTGGTGGGCCCCTGTACTCCCAGCTACTCAGGAGACTGAGGCAGGAGGATCACTTGAGCCCAGGAGTTTGAGGTTGCTGTGAGCTATGAAGCCACAGCACTGTACCCAGGATGACAGAGTGAGACTTTGTCTCAAAAACAAAAAAGAAAGAGAGCTTGGTGCACACTTGGTCATCTCCTAACTGTGCACATCTGTGGCTCTTCCCAGCCCCTCCCCTTGGTTACTAAGATACAAGCTGCACCGGCTTTCTGGAGCTTCCCCACGCTTCCCAGCTCTCTGGGATATTCCCCTTGCTCTGTGTGAGGCCTCCCAGGCTTCATTCTCCCTGGAGGGAGGGAAAGTCAGTTCAAATGAGTTCAAATGTCCTCAAAACCAATGAGGAATGTAAAGGGGGCCTGGAGGGGTCCCAGGTAGATGGGGAAAGACAGAGAGAGAGAGGTGGTTGCCAGAGGGTGCAGCCACGCTTTGGCTCTGCTAACAGCTACTGGGTGGGAACATACCCCCAGCAGCATTACCAGAGATTCTTTTTTTTTTTTTTTTGACAATCTCACTCTGTTGCCCCAGGCTAGAGTGCCCTGGCATCATCTTAGCTCACAGCAACCTCAAACTCTTGGGTTCAAGTGATACTCTCACCTCAGCCTCCCGAGTAGCTGGGACTACAGGTGCTGCCACAATACCAAGCTGCTTTTCTCTATTTTTAGTAGAGACAGGATTTTGCTCTCGCTCAGGCTGGTCTTGAACTCCTGAGCTCAAGGAACGTACCTGTTGACCTCAGAGATTCTAACTTTTTTTTTTGCAGTTTTTGGCCAGGGCCGGGTTTGAACCTACCACCTCTGATATATAGGGCTGGTGCCCTACTCCTTTGAGCCACAGGTGCCGCAGTAACCTTTTTTTTTTTTTGAGACAGTCTCACTCTGTCATTCTAGGTAGAGTGCAAAATTCTAATTTTTAAAGAAACGCTCTTGGCTGGGTACCTGTAGCTCAGTGATTAGGGTGATAACCACAGGCTCTGGGGCTGGTGGGTCCAAACCCAGCCCACACCTGCTTAAAAAGAAAAAAAAAGAAACATTCTTAGAAGGCAAAGAGCATCTCTACAAAAAATTAAAAATTAGCCAGACAGGGTGGGGGTGTGCAGTCCCAGCGACTCAGGAGGCTAAGGTGGGAGGGTGGCTGGAGCCCAGGAGGCTGAGGCTACAATGAGCTATGACTGCAGCACTGCACTCCAGCCTGGGTGACAGAGTCAGACCCCATCTCTAAAAATCGTAATAGGAAGAAGGAAAGCTACAAGTCTTGATCTGCATGTAAAACCCTTCCATACTAAAATTAATTACTGACCAAAATGTTTCAAAAACTGTGGAGGTTAAAGCAGCCACACCTGCAGGTCTCCACATGTGGCCCTGCATGCAGCACCCAGGCTCTGTGGGCAGTCCTGTCCCCTCTGACTTCTCACCCCTGAGCCTCTGATCCACTTCCCTCCCACTGCGATGGGCCCCCAGACACCCGCTGCCCAGGACAGAGCTCCAGATTCCCTTCAACTTCCACCTCAGGAAATGGCACTTTGCACACCCAGGTTTCAGGGAACACCCAGGTCTCCCCTCTCCTCCTACTCTGGCACTTTGCTCCCTAATCTTGACTCATTCCTTCCCCCCAGTACCACTGGCCTGATACAGAACATCGATTCCCCTGCAAATGGCTCTTGCTGGTAATCCATCCCCTAAATTGCAGCCAAACTTATCTTTCTAAAGGGAAAGGCATCCACCCTCACATCTTTACTCTGTCTCTATGAAAATCAACCTTGTTCTGGGAGGCCGAGGCAAGTGGATCACTTGAGGTCAGGAGTTTGAGACCAGCCTGAGCAAGAGCAAGAGCCCATCCCTTCTAAAAATATAAGAACTATCCAGACATTGTGGCAGCAGCTGCAGTCCCAGCTACTCAGGAGGCTGAGGCAAGATTGCCTGAGCCTAAGAGTTTGAGGTTGCTGTGAGCTGTGACACCATAGCATTCTACCCAGGGTGACAGAGTGGCTCTTGTTTCAAAAAAAAAAAAAAAAAGAGAGAGAGAGAGATGAAGATGGAAGATGTAGAGGTTGGAGATGGAAGGACTCTTATCCTCTTATTTTCTATTTTTAGTAGAGACGGGGTCTCACTCTTGCTTAGGTTGATCTGAACTCAAGCTCAAGGGATCCTCCTGCCTCAGCCTCCCAGGGGGCTGTGATTACAGGTGTGAGCCACTGCACCCAGTCAACCCTTATCCTCTTAGATGGTAGGAGAGTGAGGCTGGACATGGACTTGAAAACACCTGCAGGGGAAGAACAGGAAGCCGAGGGAGGCAGACTGCAATATGACCTGCAGCCATCAGCCAGTCAGTGGCCTCAAGCTTCCAGACCTCAATATTCTTAACAAAGCAGAAAGCAAAGCAAGGGTGGAGAGGAGAGAAGGTTGCTAAAGGAATGACAGAGGGGACTGGCCGAGCCTTAGAGGGGTGGGTGGTGCAAGAAGACCACAGAGGTCAAAGACCAGAAACCTGCCATGAACCCAGGGCCTCCTCGGAGCCCCTTCCCAGCCTGACAGCAGCAGCAGAGTGGGGCTACAGCACTGATCCTGGGTCAGGGTTCTGCTGGGCAGCCTTCCATGCGGGGGTCAGAGGGACTGATCAGAAGCAGGAGTGAAGCAAAAACAGGGTGTGGCCCGGGGAGTGGGTGGCTGAAGAGAAGACAAGGTCACCAAAGTTAGAGAGACTGTGGAATCCTGAGGCCGCTGGTGGGCTGATGGTTGCAGAAATTGGGCAGGAGAGAGGGGAAAGTTCCAAAGACATCAATAAATGGTAAAGAGGGACCACAAGGTCATCTGGTGCCAGGACCAAAAAAAAGAAGGGATGAGAGATGGCACAGAGAGAAAAATCATACTCTGGGCATAAGGTCTCTGGAGATCACTGCAACTCAGCTACCTGCAGACTTCTCTTTCTTTTTCATTTTCTTCCTATATTATTCAAAGCAAATGGCCCATAATTTTTTTCATTTTTATTTTTCCAGTTAAACTATATAATTATTTTTGGAGCTCAAAAGCCAAATATTAATCAAAACCATTGTAGCTCAGGCAAATAGTTGCCCCTATTTTTAAAAACCAGGAAAATGGTCCAGGCATCATGGCTCACACCTGTAATCCCAGCACTCTGGGAGGCCGAGGTGGGTGGATTACCTGAGCTCACAGGTTTCAGACCAGCCTCAGCCAGAGCGAGACCTCTGTCTCTAAAAAAATAGCTGGGTGTTGTGGCAGGCACTTGTAGTCCTAACTACTTGGGAGGCTGAGGCAGTGGATCTCTTGAGCTCAGGAGTTCTACACCAGCCTGAGCAAGAGCGAGAGCCCCATCTGTACTAAAAATAGAAAACAACTAGCTAGGCGTTGTGGTGGGCCGCCTGTAGTCCCACCTACTCCAAAGGCTGAAGTGAGAGGATCACTAAGCCCTAGAGTTTGAGGTTGCTGTGAGCTATGATGATGCCATGGCACTCTACCCAGGGTGACAAGGTGAGACTTGGTCTCAAAAAAAAAAAAAAACCCAGGGATCAGCACCTGTACCTGTAGTTCAATGGCTAGAATGCCAGTCACATACATGAAGGCTGGCAGGCTGGAACCTGGCCCGGGCCTGCCAAACAATGACAGCTACAACAAAATAGCCAGGCATTGTGGCGGGGGCCTGTAGTCCTAGCTACTTGGGAGGCTGAAGCAAGACAATCGCTTAAGCCCAAGAGTTTGCAGTTGCTGTGAGCTGTGACCCCATAGCACTCTACTGAGGGCAACATAGTGAGACTCTGTCTCAAAAAAAAAAAAAAAAAAAAACAGGAAAATGTTACATAAATCTCAATTTCTGGCAAACAAAGATCTATTCCACCCCCTCACACTCCCAAGTGACTGCAATGAGCAGCAGGTCTTCTTTAGAAAAAAGGACCACCTCACCACCATCTTGTACCACCACCACATTACCTGCCTGGGACTGTGGCCACCCCAGTGTCACATTAAGATTTGAGTGTCAGCTCGGCGCCTATAGCTCAACAGGCTAAGGCGCCAGCCACGTACACCTAAGGTGGCGGGTTCGAATCCCCAGCCCGGACCCGCCAAACAACAATGACGGCTGCAACCAAAAAAAAAAAATGGCCGGGCGTTGTGGCGGGCGCCTGTGGTCCCAGCTACTTGGGAGGCGGAGGCAGGAGACTCGCTTGAGCCCAGGAGTTGGAGGTTGCTGTGAGCTGTAATGCCACGGCACTCTACCCAGGGGGACAGCTTGAGGCTCTGTCTCAAAAAAAAAAAAAAAAAAAAAAAAAAAAAAGATTTGAGTGTCTAGGTAAGCCCACACAGCACACCCCTGCCCAGGCTCTGTGGTGAACAGGGGCCAGAAAATGGGCAATGTCCCCCGCAGACTCAACTGGAGAGCATTCCCTCCAGAAGACAGCCCCAGCTCTGCTGTTGGCACCTGCCTGGCATGAGATGTGACAGTTCCTAACTCATGGCCATCTGACAGCAGTCACAAGACCCGCCAAACCACAAATTTTCACCCTGCCCTCAAGACAGGAGGTGTTCCCTATGCCAAAGGCTGGGTCAACCTCTGAGCCCATGGGCCTCTGACCGCCTGACCCGTCCTGGGCTGCAAGCTCTAGGTGGGAGGGGAATAACCTCACATCCCTCCTTGTGTCCTTCTGCTCATATTCCCCCACCACCACTCGCCTGGAATGCGCCCATCTGGCCTGACATGTACTAAGCCAGTTCAGGGCAGTCCTGAGCTGCTAGCTGGACTGAATGCCAGGATCGCCTCAATCCCAGGCACAATAACCAGACATCCCCCTCCAAAGCTAGGTGCTTATCTGCAGGGAAAGAGGGGCTGCTTTCCCCTAACCCCACAGTATTCTGCCCCTGCTCGGAGCCTCACCCTAAAAGCTGTCCAGAAAAGGTGGGTAAGGGATGGACAGGGAAATAGAGGCTGTAAGACACTGGTGGGTTTTGCAAACGTGTGTAAAGTGCGGTTCTTTTAGGAAACATCCGGTATACACAGCAAAGCGCAGAGTGATGGCAGCCCAGTATGACTGGCTTGTCCCCTTCTCTCCCAGGGTGGGCCTTCCCTACCTCACTCTCTTTACCTCCAGCCACTACCATCACCAAGCTTCGGATGTGGCAGAGTTGTACAGTACCTGAGCCACTCCACCTCCTCGTTCTTGTACACACCCCCTACTGCTGCTAGGGACTAGGGACGAGGGACGGGGCGGGGGGGGGCGGGGCGGAATGGCAGGGGTCCCTTCTTCTGATGAGATCAGGTAGGATAAGCAGATGCAAGCGGCAAGAGTTAAGAAAAGATTATCGGAAAACAGGTCATCCTGCCTATTCACCTGACTTTTCTCTAAGTTGGAAATAGCATCAACTCACTCCGCCAGACTCCTTCCCGTGGCGGGAGACTTAGAGGAGAAGCCGGGAGAAATAGACCCGGCCCGGGCGGTTCTCCATCGCTTCCAACCCCCGCGCAGACGCGCCTTCCTCGTTGTGGGCCTCCCTCCACAAGCCCCTGGCCGCCGCCCGGCCCGGCCCTCTAGCCCCGACCCCGCACAAGGCGGCGCGGCCGCGCGCGCTCACCGAAGTAGTCTCGCGCCGCGCGCGCCTCCAGCGCCCGCTCCAGCTCCCGGGTCAACGTCTCCAGCCGCCGCTCGGCCGCGCTTGAGCCGCCCTCCCGGGCCGCGGGCAGCTGCAGCGAAGGCAAAGGAAAGGGGGCCGGCCCGGCGGGCTCCGGCGAGCGAGCTGGCGCGGGGCAGGCGCCGGGCAGGAGCAGGTCGGCGTAGGCGCCGGCCGAGCCGCGGGAGCCGAGACTGGACACGC